TGGGCCGCGTGCGGCACGAGGCAGGGCGCGGGCACGGCACCAGCGAACGCGAGCACGGGCACGGCACGGCACGCGGGCCGTTTTGTTTGTTTTTTGTTGCTGGTGCAGTCTGAAGGCCGGGCTCGGCACGGGGGCACGGGCACCACAGGGTGCGCGGGCCTGGCGCGGCGGCAATTAGGGGAACGAGCAATGACATAAACATAATGAGACCGGCGAAAAAACCCAATCATAATCTTTTTAGGGCTATAGGGCCATGGGGCTATAGGGCTATAGGGCTATGGGGCGATAGGGCTATAGGGCTATAGGGCTATAGGGCTATAGGGCTATAGAGCTATAGGGCTCTAGGGCTATAAGGCTGTAGGGCTCTAGGGCTCTAGGGCTACCGGGCACCCGGGCGTGCCGCCGAAATCGGCGCCACAGCTAACCTAACCATATGAATCCGCTAGGATCCCTACAGGAACAGCTCTGATTGGGGAAAAACTCGGAGGTCCACGCGGATTTCTCAGATCGGTGCTGGACCCCCCCTCACTGGCGCGCGGAGCGCGCCAGGGGCGGCGCCGGAGGCGCCGCCAGGGCGGTCCAGCGCCGATCCGAGAACGCCGCGCGTACCTCCGAGTTGTTATGTTTCCGTCACTGTTCGTTCCCCCAGAGCCACTCTTGCCGAGCACGAGGCACGGGCGCATGCGCGGCATGGGCGCGGGGCACGAGGCACGGGCGCGGGCACGGCGCACGAGCGTGTCCCTCTTCGGGGGGAACACTCGAACATAGTCAAAGAAAATAGTCTGGAGACGATTCCTCGATTTCCGGACTCTTTTGGGGGCACTTGTCCAAAACCCGCCTGTGGGAGGACATGCCCGACCTAACCACCAGCGCGGCACGGGCCCGTGCGCGCGCGCACGGCACGGGTGCACGCGGGCACGGCACGGCACGGCTCGGCACGCGGGCGGCGGCACGTTTGGATTTCTGAATGCCAGGCTCAAGTCGGGCGTGTCCTTTCTGCACAGGAGGAACATTCGAGAATGGGCCAGAAGAAGATGGCCTGGGAACGATTTTTCGATGTTTGATTCTTTTTCATATATCTTTCGTTTTTCCTCCAGAGTCCGCCTGCAGGAGGACATGCCCGACCTGAGACCAGGCACGGGCACGGCACGGCACGCAGGCACAGCACCGCGGTAAATCTTTCTGGGGGATCCTGAAGACTTGGGCACGGGCACTGCACGGGCGCGGCACGCGGCCGCGGTACGACGCTGCTCATTTCTCGCGTTATGTTTCGCAGAGGCGGGTTCTCTAACAGCAACAGACCACTGGCGCATTCGCTGTGTAGGAAGAATGGCGCAAACACGAGACTCCCCCTTATGCTTTTCTCAGCACGCACACGCGCACACGCACACGAAATGCCCAGGAAGCAATCAAGAGACCAAGGGGGTCCTCGTCGCTTCCCAGGCGTCGAGATCGTTTGGCTCTCGGAGCTCCGCGCGGGCCTCCGAAAGTGTTTGCATATTGTTATTATGACGATGTTGTTGTTGCTGTTGTTGTTGCTGTTGCTGTTGCTGTTGCTGTTATTGTTGCTATTGTTGTTGTCGTTGTTGTCGTTGTTGTTGGTGTTGTTGTTGTTGGTGTTGTTGGTGTTGTTGTTGTTGTTGTTGTTGTTGTTGTTGTTGTTGAACATTATTTCTTCTTAAGAATAATTATTGTTGGGACCCTGGTGCACGACCCCCCCGCCGCGCCTAGGCCGCAGCCACGTTTTCATCATTTTCGTGAGGAAGTCTCAGGCAAAACGGGTTGGTCCGGATCCGGTTGTGTTGTTACGATCGGTTTTCCCTTGCAAAAAATAAGCTAAAGTGGACATTTCTTGTTCTAACATATCCAAACTTCAAGAATCCCTTGCAACAAATAAGGTAAAGTGGACATTCGCGCGCGCAAGACGAAATCCTTCCAAAACCTTAGTTTTCGTAGCGATTTTAACATAAAAACATCAAAAAACCAATGGTTTTTCAAAAAAAAAATTGTCAAAATTTCATCCCGCGCGCTCTTGCGGATTCGTAGGAAACCCAACACTTTTTAAACATTTCTGTCAAACGGGCTTTTGCGAACAACTTTTTCGAACTTCTGCAACAACGGTTGCGCACCTGCCAGGGCCATCATCCCTGTCAAATAATACCATGCGGGACACATTCGTTTTTTCTTCGCGCGCGCACGCCGTCGTCGTCGGCCGCGGGGCCCTGAATAGTAGCCACGGTCGTCCGCATGCCACGAAGTGAAGTGTCCGAACGTCATAGGGCGGGAAGCTGGGTGTGGGTGGTGGCGAAGAGTCGTTTGGAAATTTGGTAGAGCTTGAACCGGCCCCCCCACAAAGTGGGGGTATTGCCCGCCTCCTATGAAAACCCTGGCACTGGTGAGAACGGAGTGTCCCCACGTGCTAGTAATTGTTGTTGTTGTTGTTGTTGTTGTTGTTGTTGTTGTTGTTGTTGTTGTTGTTGTTGTCGTCTGCTTCCCTGAGGCCTGCCACAAAGGCTTCGCCAGCTCCGAGGGCCGCATCGACCTCGAAGTCGACGAGAATTGGTACTGTGAGGGCTGCTGGCAGTACTACCACAATCACAGGCAGTGCTCCAGCTGCAGCGCTTGGTGCACCAGGCAGGGCCCACTTCGATCGGCTCGAACCGATTCGCTCCCGATCCCGGCCCGCTCGAGCCGATCCGGTTCCGACGTTCTGACGACCCGCTGCGGCCCGATGTTCGCATGGCGTTGCTGCGCATCTTGACGCGGCCGATCCGCTTCGGTTCCGACCCCGCGTGCCGATGCAGCTCGACCCAGCGCACACTGCGACCCGCTCCGAGCTCCCGATTTAGTGTTGACTGACCCTGCCAGGGGGCGCGCCGACCCCGAGACGGGCAGGTGCCAGGGAGCGTCATGCACACACCTACACCGACCCTGGCCGCCTCCTCCTCCTGCTCCTCCTCCTCCTGCTGCTCCTCCTCCTCCTCCTCCTCCTCCCGCTCCTCTTGCTCCTCCTCCTCCTCCTCCTCCTCGCTCCTCTTGCTCCTCCTCCTCCTCCTCTCTCCTCCTCCTCCTCCTCCTCCTCCTCCTCCTCCTCCTCTTCCTCCTCCTATGAGTGCCTTCCCCGCCAAGTCAGGAGGGCGTAAAACACCGGTCCCACATCCCCCCCACAGAACAGAAGCAAGTTGCCCCCCTGCAGCGCTCGGCGACCCCGGATCCTCAATGTCAGCGTTCGCGCCGAGATGGGCGATTTCGATCTTGTGGTTCGGAACCTTCCGGCCGCGGTGCCCGCGCCACCGAGCATTGGAACTTGGGGGTCGAAGGGGCATTGGAACTTGGGGGGCGAAGGGGTTCGGAAGCATGTGCGCTAGACTCCGCAGAGGGATGTAGGCCACGGATACGGTACATCGACAACATGTTGCACCACCTGGTGCCGAAGACAGCGGACGTCGTTCTCAATCCACCGTTTTCATCCAATCTTGGCTACGGCCAGCTCGATGGTGCAGCATTGTACCGATCGCCGGGGAAATCCCGGGCGGCTCTCCTCATCGCATGACCCCAATACGGCGAGACAAGGAACGTCTTCCTGGGACCCAGACCCTGGCGCATTCCTCCTTGTTTCAAGGCGAGGTGGGTGGCCCACGTTTGGCCGCCCATCGGTCGCGAGACCCTGGGTTCCTTATCGAAGGCCTCCTTATCTAAAACCTCCACCGTATTAGATGGGGGGAGGGGGGGGACGGGGTGCTCAAGAGCTCATGTGGCCCCCCCCCCTCAAGTGGTGCAGCCTTTCGTCGCTGTACGGCAGGGCGACGAGATTCACACACGCCCACTGCTCCCTGGCCAGGCCCGTTCTCGACCCAACGATGGGCCAGCCAGTGGCAGCAGACAGTGGGCACGCGCAGGCTATGAGATCCGACGCTGCGACAAATCACGACCAGAGCCCTTTAGATTTAAATCGGGCGTGTCCCTCTACAGGGGGAATATTCAAAAATAGTAAAAAAAATTGTCCGGGGACGAATTTTTGAGGGCATTCTGGGGGTGTTCTTTATTTTTCGTCCAAAATCTGCCTCTAGGGGGACATGCCCGACCTCACTTTAGATCCCGCGTTTTGCTGCATTTTGTTTCGGGGCGTCTCGATCGGTGGTGGTCCGGGGCCCGAGACTGGGCGACGACGCCCTGCGTGGACCGAGGTGCGGCGCCCTGGTCTCGGGGGAGCTCGCCGCCAGACCCTCCCCGGACCTCCGATGCCTTGACGCTTCCAATGCCCCCGGCGTCGCTCGGACGCGTGCGCTTTCGCTCGGCGAGGACAGCCGAGAAGCCTTTGGGGTCATCTGCCGAAGCAATGAAAAAACAGTCGACCCGTATGAGAAAGATGCGCGGTAAGGATGCAAGGGCCTTGGAGGGCCACGTTAGCGTGTTTCGAAGGAGGTTGGCCAGCGAGAGTCGCTAAGGACGGGCCGAAGGGGCAAGGATGCAAGCGTAGCCTTGGAAAGTCGCTCATCCTTACCATGCGGGCTGACTGCACACGCGCGAAACCGAAAGCTGCACGAGGAACGGACGTCCGAGCGCTGGCGGGATGCGGAGTTCCCGGAGCTCTGGAGGGGCTTGTGCTCTTGTGCACCCCATAGAGAGGGTACCCTTGGATGCTCTGCTTGTTTCTTGGCCAGAGCGGAGGGCTTCATGTTCTTGAAGGATGATGCTCTGCTGGCCTGGGTCCGACTGTACAGCGGAGACCCATGCCAAGAAACACCCTGCTGGCCTCCTGGGTTTCTTGGGTTTCGATGGTATTACGATGGCGAGCGTGACGCTCCCGCGCCAAAAATTAGTGGACGTCCTGGGGTCTCGGGGTTGGGTCTCTCGTGCAGGGTCTCGTGTGGTGGGGCCCCTGCTGTGCACGCACGAAGCCGAGAAAGCTGCACGAGGAACGGGCGTCCGAGCGCTGGCGGGATACGCGGGGTCCCCGGAGAGCTCTGGACTCCGAGGGGCCTTGCGTCCTGGATCGTTGTTCGTTCCCTCCGACGCTCCCGGGAGGCCCAGGGCGCGAGGGCCCATCCCTAGCGCGACTCCAATAGAAAGCGACTTGGGGGGTTTCTGGCCGCGCCGTCGTCGGTTCATTTCCGGCAAAGGGGACTAACCGGTCGGGCGGCCGCGCCGTCGTCAGAATGTATCGGCGATACGTCGCCGATCTATCGGCGATGTATCGTCGATTCCAGGTCGATGCATACCCCCCTATACCAGTCCCCCCCCCTATCGTTGCCCCTCAAGAGAGCCCCTAACCTCGAAGAAGAAAAAACGGCATAAGGCATGAACGTAAACTTGTGGCGCTCCGCGCGGATCTCTTGGATCCGCGCTGGGCCCCTCCCGGCGGCGCCTCCAGCGCCGCCTCCTGGCACGCTCCACGCGCCAGGGAGAGTGGTCCAGCGCATATCCAAGAAATCCGCGCGGAGCGCCAACAGTTAATGTTTATGCAGGAAGACGTGGCCTCACTTAGGTCCCCGTCTTTGCATGGGGATTTAATACATCTGGGCGGTTTGCAGAAGACCCCCTATCCCTAATGCCTTTGGCCCTCCTAACCTGGGTTCCTCCGAAAGGGTTAGGAGTTCTTTCTTGCTTATCACAGGAGACCGTTTTTGGTTTTATCCCCTGGCGATGCACGCCGGCCACGCGCATCGGAGGGTTAGAGGAAGGATCCTTAGCGCGACTCCAATACAAAGCGACTTAGCGGTTTTCTGGCCGCGCCGTCGTCGGTTCACTTTCGACAAAGGGGACTAACGGGTCGGGCGGCCGCGCCGTCGTCAGAATTCCCACCCCCTCCTCTTCGCTGCAATATCCCCGCAGTTCCCCAGGTGGCGGCCGTCAGTTTTTGTGACCCTCTCTTCGTGGTGAGGGAGGTGTTTCCGTTAGTTTTGCGACCCCCCCCTTTATCTTTTCCTGGTGAGTCCACGTCGTCGGTTCTGACGGTTCTTGGGTTTGATATTAATGATTCCCCCGTGATGAGGGCCCCCCCTGGGCACCGAGTAGGCGAAGAGCAGCAAATGCCCTCTCTGAACGCGGGGTCCCCCGGAGCTCTGGAGCCAGGATCTTGCGTCCTGCCTCGTTTCTCGACGCTCCTGGGGGCCCAGCAAGGGCACAATAATAAAGCACAATAATAAGAACAATGATAATGTGATGATAACAATAGTCATAAGAGAAGAAGGAGAGAGGAAGAAGAAGAAGGAGAATAAGAACAGATCCCATCTCTGAATTTTGCGTCCTGGATCGTTCTTCGACGGCCCTGGGGGCCCCACGAGGACAGCCAGGCACCGAAAGCGAAGAACAAAAGACGCCTTCTCTGAACCTCTGCCCCTGCACGTGGAAGGTCTGAGTACAGGCGGGGCCTGACCGCCGTCGGTGCCTCGGCATCGCTCGGACGTGTGCATATTTGTTTCTTGTTCCCCGGCGTGGGCCACAGAGGAGCACATTGGGCCATCCTTCAAACAAAGCAGTCGGGCCGAGGTAGAAGATCGAGGCCAGTGCGGGGAGGGTACCTCAGTGTCCATCGTGCTTGTGGGATGCTCTCGTGCACCCTATAGAGAGGGTGTCCTTGGATGCTCTGCTTGTCGTGGCCGAAGCGGAGGGCCTCCTGTTCATGAAAGGCTGCTCTTCTTGCCCAGGTCCGACTGCACAGTCAACTCGCATAGCAAGGACGGACAACCTTCCCAAGGGTACCCCTTGGCATCCCTGCCTCGTCGGTCCATCCTTCGCCACTTTCGTTGGCCCCGCCCCGCTCGAAAAGCTTCGAAATGGGCGCCCAAGGCCCTTATCGCGCATCCTTCTGATACGGGTCGACTGTACAGTCGGACCGAGGTATGAGATCGAGGTTGCTTCGGGGAGAGTGCTTTTGTGCTCTTCGTGCTCTTGGGATGCTCTCGTGAACCCTACAGAGAGGGTGCCCTTGGATGCTCTGCTTGCTTTTTGGCCGAAGCGGAGGGCCTCCTGGTCTTGAAGAATGCTGCTCTGCCGGCCTGGGTCCGACCGTACAGTGGAGACCAGCGCCAAGAAACACCCTGCTTGACTCCAGGGTGCCCTGGGTTTCGGGGTTTTCGATGGTTTTGCTACGGCAGGCGTGACGTTCCCACACCAAAAACCAATGGACGTACTGGGGTCTCAGGGTTGGGCTTCTTGCCCAAGGGTTCTTGCCCAGGTCCAGCTGCAAACGCTCGAGGCCGAGACATGCACACAAGGAACGGACGTCCGAGCGATGGTGAGGTGCGAAGTGCACCGCCGTCGCGCCCCCTTCGGTGGGCGGCGGGCACCCTTCTCGCGAGACGGCCTCTGGCGGAGGCGGCCGGGGACCCAGGCCTTTGCCCGCTGCTCCGCTCGCTGGGGGCACAAAGAAGCAGGACGAGGGGGGGGGGGGGGGCGGAACCGTCCTCCGAATCCTCCTTAGCCTCTTCTTCCTTTCCTCTCTCTCGCTCTCTCTCTCCTCCCCCCCCCCCTCCCTCCTTCTCCTCGTTCTCAGCCCCCCGTCCTCCTCCTCCTCCTCCTCCTCCTCCTCCTCCTCCTCCTCCTCCTCCTTCCCCTCCCCTCCCCCCCCCCCGAAAGGTGGGCCTGCGACAAGTGCCGCCGCGCAGCGCCGCCCGCCCCCGCGGCACCGCGGCCCGGCGCCCCGGGCGCGGAGGGCCTCCGGGAGCCGCTGCTGGGCGGCGCCGCCCCGGCCCCCGGAGAGCCGCCGCAGCCGCGCGCGGAGGCGCGCGGCGGCGGTGGCCGTGGCGAGGAGGATCCCCACAGAGGTCCAGCGCATGGAAGAAATCGAGACGGAGGTGTTTCGCAGATTTCGGCCTCAATGGGGCCCTCGCCAGGCCCTGGGACCGTCAAACAACGATTCAGGACAAAAACCCCGTCCTGGGGAATCGGTCGAGACTTCCAGGGACCCCGCATTGAAAAAAACACGACATCGGATCTCTGGGTCTCGTCGAGAACAAGTCGGGGGCGGCGAAGGGGGAGGTGATGACTAGGGGGGGGATATCAGCCATGAGATCTGATTTCATGGCGCCCCTTCTTACTTCGATGCGTCCCTGGCCCCCCCCCCCTGGGCCGCGCACGTGCCCCTGGCCATGATTTGCGTCCCCCCCCTCTTGGACGGCCCTCTCTTGGCCGCTCCCGAACAAGAGATCATAATCAACGATAGGGGGGGATAGGCATAGGGGGGGATCGCCCATATTGATCGCCGATAGGGGCCGGATAGCCCCAACCTGCCCAGGAAGGTGCGGATTCACTATCAGGGGCCTATCGCCGATCTATCGGCGATGTATCGCCGATTCCAGGTCGATGCATACCGCCTATACCAGTCCCCCCCCTTATCGTTGCCCCTCAAGAGAGCCCCTAACCTCGAAGAAGAAAGAACGGCATAAGGCATGAACGTAAACTTGTGGCGCTCCGCGCGGATCTCTTGGATCCGCGCTGGGCTCCCCCCCCCTGCGGCGCCTCAGGCGCCGCCTCCTGGCACGCTCCACGCGCGAGGGAGAGTGGCCCAGCGCAGATCCAAGAAATCCGCGCGGAGCGCCAAAAGTTTACGTTTATGCAGTTGTTTTCTTCTTCGATGAAGACGTGGCCTCACTTAGGTCCCCGTCTTTGCATGAGGGATCTAATACATCTGGGCGGTTTGCAGAAGACCCCCTATCCCTAATGCCTTTGGCCCTCCTAACCTGGGTGTCTCCGAAAGGGTTAGGAGTTCTTTCTTGCTTATCACAGGAGACCGTTTTTGGTTTTATCCCCTGGCGATGCACGCCGGCCACGCGCATCGGAGGGTTAGGGGAAGGATCACTAGCGCGACTCCAATAGAAAGCGACTTAGGGGTTTTCTGGCCGCGCCGTCGTCGGTTCACTTTCGGCAAAGGGGACTAACGGGTCGGGCGGCCGCGCCGTCGTCAGAATTCCCACCCCCTCCTCTTCGCTGCACTATCCCCGCAGTTCCCCAGGTGGCGGTCGTCAGTTTTTGTGACCCTCTCTTCGTGGTGAGGGAGGTGTTTCCGTCAGTTTTGCTACCCCCCTTTATTTTTTCCTGGTGAGTCCACGTCGTCGGTTCTGACGGTTTTTGGGTTTGATATTAATGATTCCCCCGTGATGAGGGAGGGGGGGAGGCTTCTTAGAGGCACCCCTGTCTGTTAGAAGATCTTAGAAGGCGCGGGCCTCATCTTTAGATGTAAGGCCCGCGCCCTCTAAGAAGCGGCCTCCCCGTGCCCCCTGCCCATACCCCCTTGTGGAGGGAACCGGTCCCTGTCACGTCTCGCTTCGCGCCGGCGCCGCCTGGGAGTGCTTGGGAATGGCGAGTTCCCATACGGCGCCGGCCGGCGCGGCTCGTGGCGTGAGATCAGGGGGGCGCCGGGGGGGGGGGGCGAGCGGGGCCCATCCCAAGCGTTGCCGTGAGCCCTCAAAACGCGCTCCAGGGTGGAGGTGGCACGGCCGCGGGGGGCTATGGCGACGGGGGGGGGCTCCCCGGACACCGAGGGAAAGAGAACATCGGAGGTTCTGAAAGGGTTCACATCCCGAACGTGCTGAACAAAATCCAAGCGGAGGTTTTTCGCAGTTGCCGGCGACTGTTGGCTCGCTCGGCCCCCGGGAACGCCAACAAAAGATCTAGCCTGTCCCGGGGAAGTGGTTCAGATGCCCGTCTTCGGTCCTCGGGGGAGCGCTGCGGCGCCGTAGCTTGTTCTGCGGGTGTCTGCGCCCGCTGGGCTTGATCCTTTGTCGGTGCTTCAACAGAAGGCATGTTGCTGGCAGGGGCTCCCCCCCCCCGCGCCGCTCCACCCCCGAAAGAACGGCACGATCGTGCCGAAAGGGCACGAGCAGAAACTCCCGGAGCTCCGCACGGAACCCTCGGGTCGGCGCCGGAGGCCCTCCCTGGTGGCAGCGCCTCCCGGACGCCCTATCCGCGCACCAGTGGCGGGTGCAGCGCCGACCCGAGAAATCCGCGCGGGTTTCCGAGAGGTTACAGCCAGACAGGATGATCAGGAGGAGGAGGAGGAGGAGGAGGAGGAGGAGGAGGAGGAGGAGGAGGAGGAGGAGGAGGAGGGAGGAGGAGGAGGAGGAGGAGGAGGAGAGGAGGAGGAGGAGGAGGAGGAGGAGGAGGAGGAGGAGGGAGTGCCTCTGTGATCGTTTTCTTGTTCATCGTTTTGCCGATCGGCGCGGGCCCTCGCACCCCCTGGCCCCCCTCCCCATGGAGTAGATCTTAGATCTTGGCTGTTTTTCGGCGTCTGTCTCAAGCAGGTTGAGTCCCCCCCGGAGGGCGCACGTTTGCAAACAGTCGCATTAAGCAGAGGTCCGCAGCCAGGCCCTCCCCCCCATCCCCCCGTCAGCCCAATGCCGGAACGCCGAGCAAGAAGACGAGCCCCTTTTCCAGAGTGCCCTTGCATTCATGTCTCTCGGCCCACCCTGACCCTCAGCCACGGGCTCCACCTCGACCTCAGTTTAGGCGGTTATCAATCATGCCAGCCCCTTGCCAAATCCCGGCAGCGCACCGAGGACTCCTTGGTGGTTCGCCAGAGGCACCGTCGCCAAAGTGAAGGTCCCCAGTGCCAAGATGTCGCATCCAGGGCATTTGGGGGGCGGCATCGTCGCCACATATTTGTAATGAGGTGGCCGCAAAGAACTTGACAGCATACCTCTGCCGTTCTCGGGGCCCTCCCAGGACAAGTGGGCGAGGCCTGGCGTCCAGAAGCGCGAGCTGGCCCTCGACCTTCCCGAGCAAGCCTGGCAGATCGGGCGCCCGGGCGACGGCCCAGGTGCTGAGGTGCGCCCTCGGCCCCTGGAGCCCAAGTCCGCCGAGTGGCTCCTGGTGGAGCGCGCCAGCGGCTGGACCTCGGAGGGCACCGGCCCTGAGGTGCGGGCGTGGGGGCCCCGGGGCCATCGCAGATCGATGCGGCTCCGAAAAGTGCCTTGGAAGGATGGGGTTCGTGGCTCGGGGCGTCATGTTGCACGAGGCTGTGGTTTGTGCACCTTCACCGATCTTGGCCAGGCTGGTCTTGGGTCCAGGCTCGGCATAGGAAGGTATATCGATGCCTGCCTGCCCAAGCCAGGAGGTCGTGCACACAACGACCCGATGACCCAGGATGAGCCTGGTCAGGATCGGTGTGCCCTCCCAGGAGGGGGAGGTGGAGGGCGAGGAGGGAGAGAAGGGGGAGAAAGGGGGAGTAAGGGGGGGAGGAGGAGGAGGAGGAGGAGGAGGAGGAGGAGAGAGGAGGAGGAGGAGAGAGAGGGAGAGGAGGAGGGAGGAGGGAGGAGGGAGGAGGGAGGAGGGGGAGGAGGTGAGGAGGGAGGAGGGAAGGAGGGGGGAGGAGGAGGAGGAGGAGGAGGAGGAGGAGGAGGAGGAGGAGGAGGAGGAGGATGTATGGCTGGCGCCCTCCCAGGACCTTTGCCTCGCTCGGCGACTCCCTCGCCAGCCTCGACTCGCTCCGCACCGCCAAGATCGCCAGCGCCCTGCTGCGCGAGGCTGGGGTTAAGTCGGGCTTGTCCCTCTACAGGAGGAATGTTTGGACTATGTTTGACCATTGTTTACACTTCACGAATCCCCGCCAACCCATTCAGAAGCCCTGCCCACGAGAGATGACGGGAAATGGAAGCAGAGAGGTATATTGTGAAACAGAGCGGTCAAAGAGAAGAGGGGGAGGACCGTGTTGAGCCATGTTGGAGGCTGCTTTGGAGCATCGGAGGCCTTCTCGAAGCTATGGAGCTTTTTGCGGGGGGGTCTTGGGGTCCTCTTGGGGTTCCTTTGGGGCATATTGGGGCCCTCTTGGGGCTCTTTGGGGGGTATTGGGGTCATCTTGGGGCTAGTTTGGTGCGTCTTGGGGGCCACTTGGGGCTCCTATTGGGGCCTCTTGAGGCTCTCTTGAGGCTCTCCTGGGAGCTTCGGAGGGCCTCTTGGGGCTATTTCGGGGGCCATCGATCAAAAGGGTGGGTCCCTTATCTAGCCCCCCCCCCTAGTGCCCTTGAAATCGCCTCTGGGGGCCCTCTTGGGGCGTTCTTGGGGCGAGCTTGAGCGCTCTTGGGGCCGTTTGGGGGGCCTCTTGGGCCCCTCTTGGAGCTCTCTTGGGCCATCGTGGGGCCATCTTGAGGCCTCAAAAGCGCATCTGACCCGAAGAGGCGAGAAGGCCAACATCATCGATTTTCTAGTGGTTTTTGAAGGAGTTTGGCTTCTGGGGAAGGTCCTGAGGGGCCTCCAACTGCACTTGGACCTGGCTTGTGGCCCTCTTGCGGCCTCCTGGAGGCATGCTGTCAGCTATCTGGAAACATGTTGGGTTATCTTGAGCGATCTTGGAGGTTATCTTGGGCTCTCTGGGGCCCTCTTGGGCCATCTTGTGCCAACAAAGACCCTCTAACACCTCGCGCCCCCCCCGTCTAGGTCCAGGGGAGAGGTTAGGGGAGGGGCCGAGGTACCCTAGATAGAAAGCCGTCTAGATCACGCCCACCCGCCCTCCCAACACATATGTAACACCCGAGCCTCAGCATGCTCAGCGGTCGTCTTTGGATGGGCAGCTACTAGGAGCCAAAACCGAACCCATGTGCGCGACGCTGGGGCGAGGTGCGCCACGCGTGCCGGGCGCGCCGCGGGCGCCAGGCACCCTTGGGGCCCGAGCGTGCAAGGCACGCCTGGTGCGCCAGCTGCGCCACGTGTCTCCGCGTGCGCCAGGTGTGCCGCATACTCCAGCCGCTCTGGCACTTGTGCCACTGGGACCCCTTCCCAGAAACACAGGCGGGTAGCAGCCCGATCGTCACCCTTGTTTGCCCGTAGGGGGGCCAAGGGGAGAGAAAAATGCTTTCGTCGCCAGCGGCCACCCATGGAGTGGGTGGTGGGTCGGTTGGGCGTCCATCCGTGCCAGGTGCGCCAGGTGCGGCATGTTCGGGGAACGTGCAGAGTGTGCGAGGTGCGCCTGCGCACGTGGCAGCACACATTGGGAAACATGTCGGCCCCCACCATCCATGTCGAAAACCAAGGCCCATCATTGTGTCCGGCGCGCCTGCGCACCGCAGGCCATGCGCCACCACTTGAAAGTGATCGCGGGGTGGCCGGACATGATCCAGATTTAGCCGCGAATTGCATGTTGTGCTGTTTTTGTCAGGGATGGTATTCCTGCGCGCTCGCGGGCCTCGCAAACATCATTCCAGACGTTGCCCCAAAGTGCACTTTGCATTGTCTTTGACAGGGATGGTGGCGGGGGGGGGCCTCTCGATCGCCTGGGGGATGGGGTGTATATAAACAGTGCGCAGCGACAAACCCTTCCCAGGAGGGAAGAGGGGTTTTCGGAAGACGGAAGCAATACATCGTTAGACCGCCTGCGCCCAGAAGGTTGGCGGGATTTTTTTCTGAAAGAACAAATATTTGTGGATTAACTTTTATGCGTAAGGGCTTCGCCCCCTGCCGCTGGCCCCCTCTCTCGGAGAATGCGCCATGCAAGAGCTATGTCATGAGGCCTGGGCGCTGTCGTGCAGCAGTATCGGAAGTTCATGCGAGGCCGACTCGTAATGAGCAGAACCAATTGATCACCAGAGTGGTTACCACACCTGGCGGTTGGTAAAACGTCGTGACCCCGCGGATCTGCGTGAGGGGCGCGACCGGATTTTAGACATGTGGCAAATCCCTTTTTGCTTTTGGGCCTTGACCTTGCGGATCTGCGTGAGGGGTGCCACCGAATATCCGAAATGTTGCAAATCCCATGTGTTTTTGGACCCTGACCCTAAGGATCTGCGTGAGGGGGGCCGCCGAATTCCAGAAATGTAGCAAATCGTTTGTGTTTTTGGACGTTGACCCTACGGAGCTGCGTGAGGGGTGCCACCGAATTTCAAGCAATGTGGCAACTCCCGTGCTTTTGGACGCTGACCCTACGGATCTGCGTGAGTTGCGCCGCCGAATGTCAGAAGTGTGGCAAATCTTTTGTGTTTTTGGACCTTGACCCTACGAATCTGCGTGAGTGGCGCCGCCGGATTTCAGAAATGTGGCAAATCCCTTTTGTTTTTCGACCCTGACCCTACGGATCTGCATGAGTGGCGCCGCCGGATTCAGAAATGTGACAAATCTTTTGTGTTTTTGGACGCTGACCCTACGGATCTGCGTGAGGGGCGCAGCCGGATTCCAGAAATGTGGCAAATCCCGTATTTTTTTTGACCCTGACCCTACGGATCTGCGTGAGGGGTGCCACCGGATTTCAGAAGTGTGGCAAATCCCTTGTGTTTTGGGACCCTGACCTTGCGGATCTGCGTGAGGAGTGTAAATTTTTACCTCCCCTGAAGTCTTGAGAACCCTCCCAGGGCGTGGTAGTTTTGCTGGTTTGGGCTCCCCCCCCCTTGCGCGTTCATCAACAAGGAGCAGTAAGCAGCAAGAAATAGAACTGCAACAGTGGAAACTGGAAGCTGCAACTGGCACAAGGAGCAGCACACTCCCGGCCTACAGCCTGGTGGCCCCGCAAGGGGGCCGGCGGATTTTTCACCCCAAATCCGCCTATAGGAGGGCTTGCCCGACCTGAGGCTGGGGTGCGGCTGCCCCGCGCGGCGCTGCGGCAGTGCGCGACGCTGGGGGACCTGGTGGCCGAGATTGTGCGTGCGCAGGGGCGGCGGTGTGAGCTCGCGGAGGGCCACGAGCCCCTCGTCGAGGAGCTGCGAGGGAGGAAGAAAAACCACCCCGAGCTCACTGAAAGCAGCTTCGGGCGTTTGTGAAGCAGCCCTGCCCTGTCCGGCTCCTTCCTTATAGGCTTATAGGTGCGCTTGCTGACGGGCTTCGCTCGTCGGAGTGCTTGTTGTGAGGGTGGTTCTTCTGCCTACTGAGATGGGGGCGGAGAACAGTACAGTGGGGGCGTTGTTAAGGAGTGTGTCCAGGGGGCTTCAGACCCTGGAGGATTCCTTATCTGATAAGGTCGGCAGTGATATCCACGGCCAAACCATGACTGGCGTTCCACCAGCTTCAGACCTTGGACCCCTTATCCAATGGTTCCTTGTTCCTTGTTCAATGCCCTCACCGTATGAAAGCAACGCTTCTGCCACCGGGGACGTCCCCTGAGATCCGGGCACTGCAGTTTCTTCACGCTGGGCGTCTTCGCCCGATTTTTCAAGGCCCGGACGCGTACAGAACCCGCACTCCCCCCCCCAACCCGAAGATGGGGTCTTCGGATTGGGTTGGGGTGGTCTGGTAGGTAGTCCGAAAGGAGCGCGCCATCTGGGGCCTGATGTGGAACTCGAAGTGCCAGTGGACGCTGCGCAGGGACAGGCCCCTGGAGGAGGCGGCGCTGCGCGCCGCCCTCGCGAGGCTGATCGACCGCCACCCCGCACTGCGCGTGCGGCTGGCCGACCCCATGCGCCTGTTCGACGCCACGCAGAAGGCGTTACGCCCGTGCTCGACATCAGCTCCAGTGTCATCACCACCACCGGCACCATCACCATATCGCCCCCCCCATCACCATCACCATCATCATCGTCCACCATTACCCCCCCCTGGATACCACCTCCCCTCAGTCTGGATGGGTGGGGTGCGGGTCGTTGGAGCGCTCAGGATGGCCCAAGTGAGAACCCACAAATTATGTACGTTGCTTGCGTTTTTGGCCGATCTGGGAGCCCGAGTGGGGCAGCGCTGGGTTCTTCTTCGATGGCCGCCAAGATTGCCACAAGAACAACAGACAATGCCCAAAGAGGGCCCACCAACCCACCACCCTGAGATCCGACGTCTCAAAAAAAATTGAGACGCCGTGAAAAATCGAGCCTGGAGCCCTGGACCTTATCTCTCTGCGCCATTTTTCGAGCCGGATCGATCTGTGAGGGTCCCGGGGCCCGAAAATAAGCAAGAACGCCCGGCTCGAACAAATTGGGCCGCCAGGATCTCAAGGATCACCACCACCACCACCACCACCACCACCACCACCACTACCACCACCACCAAGGCGTTCTCCGTGTTCGAGCTGTGGCGAGCGCAGCGGCGGCGCGCCCGCCGCTCGGCGCCGACTCCGCGGGGGCCCCTGCAGCGACTGACCGCCGCGCTCTCGGACGCCGCGCTCGGCGCCGTGCAGTGGAGCTTCCGGCGCGCGTGGCCGCGGGTGGCGTCGGTCCCGCCCAGGATCGGCGAAGGAAGAGCATCATGAGCTTAAGTCGGGCGTGTCCCCCTACAGGAGGAATACAGTCAACAAATGTAATATGGAGATGTTTTTTGAGGATGATTCTATTATCCGCAAGGGCTTCGCCCCCATGCCGCGGGCCCCCCCTCTCTTAGAATGGGACTTGCCAGAACTATGTTGGGATGTCTTGACGCTGACGTGAAGCAATGTCGGGGCTTCACGCGAGGGCCAATATTATTTTACGAGGGTTTATGGCTTCGGTGGCGCGAATATCCGGTAAATGTTCAAAGGTTTCTGGCTTCGGGGACGCGAGTATCGGGAAATCTGCGAGGGTTTGTGGCCTCGGGGACGCAGAGACCGCGTAACTTATGAGGGTTTACGGCCTCGGGGGCGCAACTATTGCATAAATTACGAAGGTTCATGGCCTCGGGGACGTGAGTAATTTGCAATGGTTTGTGGCCTCGGGTACGCAAGCATGGTGTAATTTCAAAGGGTTCATGGCTTTGGGGATGCGACTATGGTATAGCTTTCGAGGGTTCATAGTTTCGGAAGCGCGAGCATGTGGTAATTTACAAAGGTTGATATGTTTTTGGACCCTGACCGCGCCGATCTGCGTCAGGGGTGCCACCGAATTTCAGAAATGTGGCAAATCCCTGGTGTTTTTGGACCCTGACCCCGCCGATTTGCATGAGGGGTGCCACCGAATTTCAGAAATGTGGCAAAAATCATATGTTTTTGGACCCTGACCCCGCCGATCTGCGTGAGAGGTGCAACCGGATTTCAGGAATGTGGCAAATCCTTTGTGTTTTTGGACCCTGACCCTACGGATCTGCGTGAGGGGTGCCACCGAATTTAAAACATGTGGCACATCCCATGTGTTTTTTTGACCCTGACCCCGCCGATTTGCGTGAGGGGTGCCGCCGAATTGCAGCAATGTGACACATCCCATGTGTTTTTGGACCCTGACCCCGCCGATTTGCGTGAGGGGTGCCACCGAATTCAGAAATGTAGCAAGTCTTATGTGTTTTTGGACCCTGACCCCGCCGATCTGCGTCAGGGGTGCCACTGATGTTCAAACATGTGGCAAATCCCTTGTGTTTTTGGACCCTGACCCTGCGGATCTGCGTGAGGGGTATCATTATCTACCCCCCAGAAATTCTGAGAACCCTTCCAGGGCGTGGTAGTTCTGCTGGTTTGGGCTCCCCCCCCGCGCGCGTTCATCAACAAGGAACAGTAAGCAGCAAGAAACAGAACTGTAACAGTGGAAACTGGAAGCTGCAACTGGTACAGGGAGCAGCACATTCCCGGCCTACAGCCTGGTGGCCCCGCAAGGGGGCCGGCGGAATTTGGAGCATTTCTGGGGTATGCTTTATTTTTCAGCCAAAATCCGCCTATCGGGGGACACGCCCGACCTAATCATAAGCACGTCACCCGGCATCATGTCAGAGGAGGAGGAACATGCCGATACCGCTGCCTTTACCCCGTCTTCGCCCCTGTGGTCCTCCTGGGAGGCCCTCGTCGCCACCGCTGGATTCGCCTCGAAATCCTCGTCAGAACGCACCCCGGGAGAGGTCGAGGGAGTAGCGGCATCAGTACCTGTTGGATTCCTTATCATCAGCACGCTAGCCAGCAGATTCCAGCATGGATCACAGGTTCGGTGGTGAGTCGTCAGCACGGGCCGCGCTGGGGGACAGGCGCATTGTGACAGTTGGAAAAGCGGAGGGCGGCCGCAGAGGAGGAAAGGGGGGGGGAGGGAGACCTCAGGCGTAGAGAGTCTACACCACGAGGAGCGTGTAGGCCGCAAGGTGGATCCCAAACGGTGAGTTATTGCGCCGCGGATGTGTGAGCTGTGTGGCGCAAGCTGTGGTGTGCAGTTCGCTTATTCTCACTACTTCGCCGCTGCCAGAGTTCGGCCAAAATGCAGCGCCTCCCGCGATGCGACGAGGCCCCGGTACATGCTTTCAGCAGCGTAGCGCCCGCGGCAAAAGAGGAGACGTCAAAAGGGCCCGTTAGGCCGAGGGGCCCCAGTACAATGTTTAGTTCAAGCATTGTTTTGCTCAAATATCGGGCGGAACCGCCCATTTCGAATTCGAACCCGATGGTTTCGAAATCCAGTCGAGATCGTTTTTTGGGAGGAAGTTCCAAGCGAGAACCACACTTTCGAAATCTCTGGTCAGAAATTGAAGAGTTGAAATGCCAAATGGCGTGGCCATTTCGCAACGACGGTTTCGCGTGAGACATCCCCAACAAACAATGTCGAACGATTTTGAATATTTTGAGTTAGATCTCGACATGGCGCCCACGCCCAAGACTTCCTCCAGATTCGGATTTAGGATACAAGACCTTTTCTGGTTCGTTTCGAAATGGCGCTCCCGCCCAAGACTTCCTCGAAAAGAGAGGTCGGCACTTCTTCAGTGTGAATTCGCAATGGCGCACCCGCCTAAGATGCGCCTTGGTGGAAGCACGACAGGGGCCAAAACTTTCGCAGTGCCGATGTAGTGAGTTGCCAATTCCACTGCTCAAGCAATCATCCCACACACACAAACACACCCGCAACTTGGTTTGCAAAACCCATGCGGCGGCGATTGCGATCACTGCTTGGCGCTGGCTGGCACATCGCTGCGGCCGTGCTAGCGCGCGCAGGCTCGCGCGAACAGCGGCCAGGTAGTCTGGCGCGACCGACGCGGCCGCGGTGGCGCTGACCGCCGGCGACTTCCCAGCGCGTCTCGTAGGCCGCGTTGACGAGCGGGCACTGGCTCGGGCGGGCGCGGTATCATGGCGACGTCGACATCGGTAAACACGATGATGACAGTAGCGATGCTGGTGACGATGGTGACGATGACGAGGGCAGGGCAAATTACAGCGCCGATGTTGAGCACGCCGATGACGATGATGTTCTCCACGTGTCGGTGACGAAGGTAATGGAAGGATTTCGACATGCGCGCGGCGCGGTCGACGCTCACGAATGGACCACCTGGCAGTGTTTGAGGGACCGTATCCCGCCCCCAGCTAGCGCGCAATGGCGTTCGAAGTTTTTCCGACCTGCACTCGCGGGAGGCCCGCTTGGTCGCATTCGATGGCGATGTCGAAGAACAGATGGCTTCCCCAAAAGCAACAGCGCGCAGATGTTGAAAGTGTAATGTTGCCAAACCGTTAGACAACCCCGATCTTGAAACCCTTACGGAATTGTTTTTTTAGGATTTCGACGTGCGCGCTCGACGCCGCGCGCTTGTGGAGTTTGAGCCACTTTTTGCAAGGGAGTTGTTGACAAGCTATGTTTTTGATAAACAAACGTGCGCACATAAATCATTTGACAGGGATGTGCGGGTAGGTCGATACCGGGTCCCCATGGGATGGTGTGAACTCAAAATTAAACAAACGAGGGGGCAGACTGATTTGTAAAATGCATTGTCCCAAGGGGGGGCGATAATTCGGGGGGTAAGCCGTAAACTTTTCAAAAGAGAGGATAATACACGTGGCGCAGCGCACGAGGCGGCCACAAGGTGGCCACAGGCGGCAACGTCGCGAAATTTCGCCGGACTCACCCATCGCATGAAGCGGTCACGGAGCGGCCACGGGTGGCAACGTGGCGAAACCTCGCCGGACCCGTCCAATTATTGAGTAGAACAGGCAAGAGGATCCCTGAGCGCAAGTACTGTTTTGGGGAGCGAGCTGTCCGAGGTGCAGTTTTTTCGTTCCCGCCACTCTTGCCTCGTTCTCGCCCTTTTGAGGGCCTCCTGGGGGAGCCCTCGTCGCCACGACCAGATCTGGCTCGAGATTTTGGTCAGAGCGCACCCCTGCGAAGCGCTTCTACTCGCCGTGGCTTTCCAGCCAGCCAACAACAACCCATATAAGTTCGCGCGACGTTTTTTCTTCACACGCTTCTTCTGCGGGTTCGTGGGGGGCGACGAGAAGGCCACGGCTCTCGATTCATCTTCCAGGATCACCAGATCTCAGAGATTCCCGACTTAGCCCTGTCCGATTTTGTCTCTGTCCAGGCTTCGCCTGAGTACCCTTTCATGCTTCTCCAGGAGTCTGCCCCTGCATGTGATGCCGCACTCCCCCGACCTCGACGGCGCCAGGAGGGCCCTGCGCTGGGTGCCGCAGTTCGAGCCCCCGCTCCAGGTGAGCGACGCAAAAAATGTAGTCGTTTGCGCCGGCATTGGCGCGTAAGCTGCCCGCGCAAGGTCGCGCGTAAGCGCCCTCGTCTCCATTGTGGCGCGCCGCGCGGGCGGCCCGCGTCAACCGCGGCGTAGGATCAACGTGTTATCTCGCGCAAGATCCGTTCTTGATCATCGCTCGGGTGGGCTTTGCCCCCTTCGATGGGGGAATACCCCCAAACGGATCTCCCCGTCGACAGATACATCAACTGCTCCGTGGATCCACGGAACATTCCTTGCATTTGTTGCAGATTCGACAAACGGAAGTCAATTTGGGGGTAGATCTAAGGCGGGCGTGTCCTTCTACAGGAGGAATATTCAAAAATAGTCCAAACATGTTTTGGGGACGTTTCTTCCCCGTATGTCTGATATGTGTTAAATACTCGTTGTGAATATGTTCTTTCCTTCTCCCAAGATCCGCCTGTAGGAGGACATGCCCGACCTAAGGGTGAATCAATTCTGTAGCCCATCCCCTGCTCGACAGGTGGGCTTCGCCCCCTTCGACGGGGGCGCCCTGGTGAGCATCGCGGTGACCCACATGACCTCGGACGGCTACTGCCTGCTGCCCCTTCTGGCCGACCTGGCCCACTTCGTCGCCCAGGAGGACGGGTCGGACGACCAGGGGGGGGGGGATAAGGGAGCTCCTCCTCCTCCTCCTCCCTCCTCCTCCTCCTCCTCCCTCCTCCTCCCTCCTCCTCCTCCTCCTCCTCCTCCTCCTCCTCCTTCTCCTCCTCCTCCTCCTCCTCCCTCCTCCTCCTCCTCCTCCTCCTCCTCCTCCTCCTCCTCCTCCTCCTCCTCCTCCTCCTCCTCCTCCTCGGGCATGTAGGGAGCACGAGGGGAAGCTATGCGAGAGACCTGCCGCGCGCAGCTGGCTGGGCGGCCCCGCCGCTGGGTGCCCGTCCGCCAGCGACAGCAGCGCGCCGGAGCTATGGACCACCTGCGCTCTGCGGAGGGGCTCAGGGCTCGCGGGCCGGGCCAGCGAGCCTTCCGCGGGTGGAGAGAACATCGCAAGGGCCAGGTTGCGTTCTGAGGGAGGCGGCTTCTGCTCGAGACCTCCTCGCGATTTACCTGCAGGCGAGCGCCCGAGACACCCTCTCGATTTGCTCAGGGACGAGGCTCCCGCTCGAGACTTCTTCGGGACTCAGGCTCCCAGGTGTCATCAAGCCTGCGGTTTTACAGGGTCTCCCGATGGCCGCATCGGACTACCAAACTGAAGCGGGGATACTATAGGGAGGGGCTCCCGCTCGAGCCTTCCTCTGAGAAACAGCGTGCAAACTTGGATCAGATTCCATCGATCTCTGAGGACCCCCCCCCACCCCCCGGCCTTTCAACGCTGACTTGCACTATTTTGTCCACCCGGACTGGGGGTGCTCGCTTGACGCCAACATTGACATGTACTTAGGGGGCGGGGATTGTTCGTCGAGGTGGCGTCGCAATGTAGGTGCATCCGCACGCAGCCAGGACCAACTTGCAAAATTTCGTCGTCCCACCGTTGTTTGTGGCCGATGCTAGCCGTGGCCAAAAAACCTTGTCGTCCCTTACCCGACGACGACGACGACGACGACGACGACGACGACGACGACGACGACTATCAGCACGACGGCTGTACATACACAGCCGCCTCCGGAGCCAGGAGGCACTGCTGAGGCCAGCCGCGTGAGCTGAAGCGCGCTGCCCCTGAGATTCCACGGGAAATCACGACTGGAGCCCCAGACCCCATCTCCTCGGTTTAACATCATGGGAGCCTTGCGCACCCTTGTAAGCCCGTCTCTTATTGCATCAGCGTCGACTAGCGTTTTGTAATCGATGATTTAGCGCGGATTTAGCGTCGATGAGCTTCGACCAGTGTCGATTAGCGTCGATTTAGCGTCGACTAGCGTCGATTAGCCTCGATTCGCAAGACCCAAGAAGTCGGTATTGGAGGCTCCCATGAGTTACCACCGAACATTTTTCCGCGGCATCTTTCGAGCCGGACCGATCTGTGGTAGTCCCAGGGCCCGAAACTGAGCAAAAACACCCGGTGTGAAAAAAATGCCCGCGGGCGATCTTTGCATGTACCGTACCGCTTGGGCGTCTCCCGAGCCGTCGTCGATCCTCGACCCAGGACTGGTACGGTGTACAGTTTTTCGACCCTCGGAGCCGAGAAATTATTCACCGTACCACGTTGGAGCGTGGCCTGAAGGGAGTCCAGACATGGTACGGTCCCTGGGTGCCGTTCTCGTAAAATGCAGCGCCCAGATCTCAAGGACCCCCTCCCTGACCCCGGATCCGCAGTATTTTGCTGTTCTTGTTCGATTCCCGCTTGTGTTAGAAATTCACCCCAAACGATGCAAGAAAAAGTAAAGCGGAAGTGTCCACCTCGGAAGAGCAGAGCGGAGATTTCCGCAAAGATAGGGCGGAAACAGCGGCGGCAAAGGTAGGGCAGACATCGGCATCCGACAAGCCTCGTCAAAAATAAACAGAAGACTTCTGAATTCGGTGATTGCGGGGCCAGCGCTACTCCGATGCTGACGGATGTCTGTTGACTCTGACGCGGCACTGTCCAAAAATTGGCCCCACCCTCTTAGCATTGAAGAACGCGTTTCTCGACAAGTGCCCGAAAGCATCGTGCTCCAAGATTTCAACTTCCATTTCTGGATATGTTTGACGAGGCTTGGAGGATCTTGACAAGCAGGACGGGAATTTCCGCCCTGCTTGCGAGATCATGCGAGATCGCCCAAGGAGTAGGGCGGATCTGGAGCCGAGGAGGTTCGGGGCCCCAGGCCCCTGCTAATTAGCCTCGAGGCTCGAGGCGCGCGGCTCCTCCCAGCCTCGACGCGCGAGGCTCCTCCCAGCTTCGAGGTGGAGGGTTTCTCCGAAGGGCTTAGGCGACCCCTCCTCCTCCTCCTCCTCCTCCTCCTCCTCCTCCTCCTCCTCCTCCTCCTCCTCCTCCTCCTCTCCTCCTCCTCTCCTCCCCTTCTCCTCCTCCTCCTCCTCCTCCTCCTCCTTCCTCCTCCTCCTCCCCTCCCTTCCTCCTCCTCCTCCTCCTCCTCTCCCCTCCTCCTCCTCCCTCCTCCTCCTCTCTCCTCCCCCTTCTCATCATCCTCCTCCTCCTCTCCTTCCTCCTCTCCTCCTCCTCTCCTCATCATCATCATCATCATCATCATCATCATCATCATCATCATCCCATTCCTCCTCCTCCTCCTCCTCCTCCTCCTCCGTTTCCTCCTCCTCGCTTCAGTCCGGCGCCAGGGCTCGCGGGCGTTTTTTGTGCGTCTTGGCCGGCCGCTCTTGCTGCCACCCCGCCCCTTTCGGCGGCGAACAAGGGTCATGCGATCGCAAATATGGGTCAAGGGGTCGTGGAGTAGCGACGGGTCCCGTGTCTATAGGAAGTCGTGGATTCCCGCCGCCGAGCGAGGCGGCACGGGCCGCATTTCGGGGAGGGACCCCCCCCGATCCATGGATTTGGCGACCGCGCGCCAAATCCATGGATCGCTAATACATGTTTGCGCGCCCCCGAAAGGGGGATGGGAGTGAGAAGGAGCAGGCCTTCTCAGAAGGCGGCGGGACTTCTCAGAACTCAGAGAAGTCCTCGCGCATTATGAAAGAAGTCTTTCGGCTTCTTCGGGGAAGGCTTGGAACGCTTCGCCGAAGGCCGGGGGGCTTCTGAGCCTTCTGGGAAGGTGGGTTCCTTCCCCAGACATCAGTCGTCCCGATATTTTTCGAGACACGGGGCCCCGACCTCTCGACCACTTCCCCTGGACCGGTTTCTCTTCCCGAGCCGTCTTTTGACGGCCCCGAGGCCCGGTAAGGGCCCCCATCGAGGCCGAAAACGAGGAAAAGCCTCCGTCTCGATTTTTTGTTCGAGACGGTCGATGTCTGGGTCCTTCTCCTCCTCCGCCTGCTTCCCTCCTCCTTCCTCCTTCCTCCTCCTACTCCCGCCTCCTCCCGCCTCCTCCCGCCTCCTCCTCCTCCTCCTCCGTCCCTTCTCCCTATGAATAATTTCTCCCTGTCGCACCCCGAGGCCAGTTCTAGGGCGGGCCGGGCGTTTCGCCTGAGATTTCCTCACCATTTAGGATCCTGAAGCTCAAACGTCGACAACACCCTCACAGATGGAGGGCGGGTGGTTTTCAAAATGTGGCTCTCGCCATAGCGCCGCGCACATTCGTTTCCCAAATTTGGCAAAAGTTTCACGGATTGAGAGCGGGTCGTTTCCAAAATGTGGCTCTCGCCTTAGTGCCGTGCACACTCGTCCTCAAAATTTGCAAGAGCTTCACGGATTGAGGGCGGGTAGTTTTCAAACTGTTGCTCTCGCGTTAGCGCCGCGCACATTCGTTTTTTTTTTTTTTTTTTTTTTTTTTTTTTTTTTTTTTTTTTTTTTTTTTTTTTTTTTTTTTTTTTTTTTTTTTTTTTTTTTTTTCTGAAATTTGCAAGAGCTTCACGAATTCTCATGATCGACGTACCAGAAATGATGTTTTGGTAGTATTCACATTATGGGGGCGCAACAGTTATGATGATTCGCGGTGTTGAAGTCCCAGGAACGGCGTTCCGGCACGATTCAGGATCTCAAGACGCAACAGTCAGGTCTATCCGTGGCGTTGGAATACCGAGGAAAATGTTTTGGCATGCTTCAGGGTCTGCAATCGGTTGTCTTCCAACGAGGCAGGTCCTTCTGTGGAAATCTTCCGTTGCAGGGGCCTATGAAGAGGGAGCTTGGGGGGAGGGCTCATTCCAACATCGTTGGTGACTCTTGGGTTTACATTGGTCCTCCTCCTCCTCTTCCTCCTCCCCCTCCTCCTCCTCCTCCTCCTCCTGCTGCTCCTCCTCCTCCTCCTCCTCCTCCTTCTCCTCCTCCTCCTCCCGCTCTCCTCCTCCTCCTCCTCCTCCTCTCCTCCTCCTCCTCCTCCTCCTC